TTATTTTCCAGTTCCATTATTATTTCTTGATGTTTGTTGTTGAAGGAGGTTACATTCCAAGTCGCCACTCTAAGGAGTTTGGGTTTTCTTATTCGTTTCCTTGTTCTCGCCGTGTCGTCATCAAAATAATCAGTCCTATCCGAGGCTAAGATGTTGGTTCTATGAGCATAAGTTTTTTTTGACCGCGGGTAGGTTCCTGGCCTCTCCCATGAACCCTCCTGCTTTCCATTCCGTGTGAATTTATTGAAACAGCTAACCAAATCATAGTAGCTTTGCAGACAAGAAGTTTGACTTAAAAAAATGTATCTTCTTGGCTTTAGCAAAATAATAAAAGTTATATTGCTGGGTTTGGGTTTCGCAAAATTTATTTAATTCTGATAGTTATACATGATAAACAATTTATATTTAAATTGATAGTTTTTTGTTCATTGCTTGGCAAAATCATAAAAATAATAAAGTAACTTGAATTGATCGTAAACTAAGTTTCGATTTAATCCAACTTCCAACAACAGCAACAGCAAATAATGTGTTAAAAGTGGTCACCAACACAACATCCCGCTCAAAGCAAACACTCTTTCTGTTCCTTAATTGCCCATACTAAGAAAATGGGTTTTGCTATTTTGTTGCTGAGGCCGGCTCTAAGAAAAAAAATCAAAGCTCGCGTGTTTACTTGCAACTTGTAAACCAAATTTCTAACAAAGTCGAGAGATAATGGAGCATCTTGACGGCCAAAAAATTGGTCCATAGCGTTCAATAATCCTAGTCCTAATTGGAAAAGTATTATTCAAAAACCCGTACACTTCACATGTCTCGATTAGTATTTAGTACACACGTTTTATAAAATAACGAACAAATAATTGCGCAAATAATGTAAATACTTCCTTTAAAAATGTATGCTCACACATGTATAAATAATCGGTGTTTAAAATTGCTTTTCCGAATTGCGTAGGTATTCCTGGATGAACGTTATTTCGGCAGTTGCGAGAATTTTGCGGAACAACGCTCATCCTGATTAAAGAAATTAATGTGGCAGATAACATCGAAAAAATTGTTCTGCAATATCGAAGAAAGTCATTCTCTACTACTCCAATTTCTCTGTAAAAAGTAAATTGAAAGTGTTGTTTGTTCCAATGACTTAATTAAAGTTAAAAAAAATGTATTCATAAGTATTCCATTTTTTAGTATGGCGTGAAACTGTATTGGCAAATATGCCTTCCAAATGAGAAAATCCTGCGAATCTGCTACCCACGAGTTGGTGCAGAGGGCACAAACCTCATTAGAGCGTAAATAAATTGCTCGGGCGGCTTTTCTGGACATAGAGGGAGCCTTTGACAATACCTCTTTTCAGTCAATCGTCAGAGCGGTGAAAAATCGTGGAGTGGAGCCTATAATATGTAAATGGATCCAAAACATGCTGAGTTGCACAACGGTTACTGTCGCACTCAATGAAGTCAGCATGGGAGCACGGGTAGCCGGCGGGTGTCCGCCTGGTGGTGGACCGGCTCCTGTCGTCTCTTGAGGGGAAAGGTTTCTACGCACTGGGATATGCGGATGATATCTCCATTGTTGTACAGGAAAAGTTTGGAGACACTGTATCATCATTGATGCAGCAGGCGCTAAACATCACCGAACAAGGATGTAACAAGGAAGGGCTGAAAATTAGCCGATCCAAGAGATCTATTATCGCTTTTACAAGGAAGAGAGATTTTAGAGCCCTAAGACAAATGTCTATATATGGGAACAAAATACACATGTCTGACAGTGTTAAATAACTAGTTATAACTTAAAGCTGTTGTTTAAAGAACATGTGGAACAGAAAACAAACAAGGCGATCAGGGCTTTATGGACCTGCAAACGCACTTTTGGAGAAAACATGGGGAATTTYACCGAAGATGGTGTACTGGACGTACGTCACCATTGTGAAACCCATAATCACATATTCCGCCGTCATATGGTCGCATAGAACCAAAATCAGCACATWTCGACAGTCCCTGAACAAAGTTCAAAGGCTGGCGTGTCTGGGAATAACTGGAGCAATGTCAACKACACTGATGGCCGCTATGGAGATACACCTGGGGCTGGAGCCGTTGCATTTATCCATTGAAGCTGAGGCCCTAAGAAGCGCTTACCGCATGGGTGACGATGTCCTCAGGAAACCGACGGATTTGGCACACAGTGCGATCTTC